CACCACCGAGACTGGGTGGTGGTATCTGCCTGTAATCCCAGTGCCGGGGAGGCTTAAAACAGGAAGATTACTACAAATCTGAGCTGTGTAGTGAGACCCTGTATCAGATACATTAAAAAAAAAAAAATCTGGTATTTCTTTCTTGCTTATTTTTGGTCTAATTGACCTGTTTGTGTGATTGGGGTATTGAAATCCCTCACTATGATTGTATACTGGTGTCTACTGGTGTACTCATCTTGTTATATCAAACAGCTTTTGTTCCATGAAATTAGGTACACATATTCAGTGTGTATTCACTGAATATGATAATGTATTCACAATTATCTCTTCTTGTTGAATTGTTCTCTTTACCAGTAGTGACTTTCTTGGCTCTTCTGATCAGTATTGGCTGGAGGTCCACTTTGTCTGAAATTAGGATGGCTACTCCTGCTTGTTTTGGGGCTCCAGCTGCATGCCTATAGTCTTCTACCCTTTCAGTCATTGTTTTTCTTTTTGGTTGAGGTGTGGTTTCTTTGTAGCAAATATATAGTGATAGTTTGTTTATTGACCAGATCTGTCAGTCTTTGTCTTTTGATTGGGGACTTAAGACTATTGACACTGAAAGTTATTATTGTAAGGTGTTTACTGAGTCCTTTATATTATTTTTCCATTGCTGATTCTTCTGGGGGGCTTTCCTATAAATTCTCTCTCAGCTTTTTAGGCTCTTTGCCTTCACTCTGCATTTAGTATTTCCAGCAGTGCTGTTTGGTGGTCTTTAATTTCCTTAGATTATCTTTGTCATGGAAAGTTTTTATTCCTTCATTAATTTGGAAGGATAATTTTGGAGGTTATAGCAATCAGGTTGGCAATTACTTTCTTTTAGGGCTTGAAAAAAACATAACTCTAAGTACTCATCTTTAAGGCTTGTCTTGAGAAGTGTGCTGTTGTTATGGTAGACCTGCCTTTGTCAGTTACTTAATGCTTTTCTCTAATGGCTTTTAATATTCTCTCTCTGTTCTGATTTCTGGGATATGATATGGAGAGGTCATTTTCTGGTTGTGCCTGTCTGGTGCTCTCACTGCCTCATTTTCCTGGGTAGCCACTTTAATCGCTAGATTTCACAGTTTTCTGCAATGAGTTCAATGAATACATTTTTAATACTTCTAATTTTCTTCTCCAGCCCTTCCTTGACATTGCTAACTTCTAGGGTTTTTTAGACGCTCTAGGACCCATTGAGCCAACCTCCTATGGTTTCTTAAAGTTTTTAGACTATCACTGAGGTGATAGAATATTACTTCATTCTTATCCTTAAGTTCTAATGTTCTGTTCTCTGATTAATCGTGTCTGCTAGTATGACTTTCCATTGTGTTTTTATTTCCAGGATTTCTGCTGCTTTTTTTTTATCATCTATAATTCTTTAATAAAGTGATCGTTCATGTCCTGCATTGTCTTTTTTAATCATTCAGCTGTTTATTAGTATTAAGCTTTTTTTTTTTTTTTTCTATATTTAGCACAGGGTCTACAGGATCTCACTACATAGATCAGACATGTAGTGATTCTCCTGTTTTCAGCCTCCCAAGTGCTGGGATTACAGGTGCATGCCACCACACCCCGTCTACTATTAAGCTTATTAATTGAATCTTTTATCTGCTTATTTACCCCCCCCTTTGAGTTCATTGAACATCATAGTAATTTCTTCATGAATATATTTGTGTCTTCTTTGATCTCGTCAAACATTCAACTCCTCATGTTTTGTTTCAGTCTGGAAATTCCTTCCCTTCCGTGTGAGAGACAGTAGCTGTGGGAGAGTTTTTGGAGGCCTCTTGATGACTTACTTTCTTATATTTCTAGTGTATTTGTGTTAAGGATTGTAGATGAATTAGGATAGAAAACTGCCACTCCTGGGAGATCTCTTTAGTTAGTGCATGCCTCCCTGTGGAGTGACCTTGGCTTTAGTTAAGTTCTTGCTGTTCACCTATTCAGCCTACTCAGCATGGGATCAGTCTCAGTGTCTCTGCTCCTGCAGAACTCTGGCTGAGCACACCATGCCACACGGTCTGTGCAGGACATTCTTCTCTGGTTTTCTGCACCATACCTCTTCCAAATTTGTAAGAAATAGTTCTTATTTGATATAACTTATTCTTGGTCATGGGGTCTGGATCCCAAAGTCCACTCTTTTTATTCAGCTGACACCAGAATAAGGAGGTGTACTCTGGTTTCTCTTCAGATCATAGAAATCTTTCAGCTTTTACTAAACATTTCCCTGGACAGAGTAAGAAGGTGCAGCCTGCCCCACATCAAGACCGCTCATGGGCACTGAGAGTAAGCATGCGGTCTGGCCCTGCATCTGGACTCAACTGGTAGCAGTATTCTTTTACTGGTACCTCAAAGGCATTTAAAAAAAAAAAAATTCCTTAATCCCACATGTTTGTAGTTTCTGAACTACTCTTCCTTGTCTGTACAACTCTGTGACATTTTGTTTTGATGCTAAATCCATTTGTAATATTCTGCCTCCTGGTGCTTCTGTCAGATGCCCTGTAAATTTCAAGTTTTTTTGAAGCACACTGTTGATAAACATATTTAGTTTACAGGGCCGGCCAAACTAGTTGAGCGGATTAAAGTGCCTGCAAGCAGGCACAGGGGAAGGGAAGTTCAATCCCTAGGCCTGCTATGCCAGCCTCACCTCCTGGAGACATACTGAGATGGCGATTGACACAGGGTGTGGTGGCGCATGCCTGTAATTCTAGCACTTGGGAAGCTGTAAACAGAGGAATCACAAGTCCAGTCTAGTAGTAAGACCCTGAACACCCTGTAGACCCTTTCCTAAGATACAGAAAAAAATCCATATTTAGTTTATTTCTTATTTTATTGATAGGGACAAAAAAGCAAAAGATCAAAAATTGCAACCAAAGAGCCACTTAATACAATTTAGAGAATAGTAGCTGACAGTGGTCATTATTGTAAATGTCTTTTGTGACCATGCACTTTAACCACCATTTATTTTATATGTTGTTAAATTTGAGGAGCTTTGGTAATTGTTTTTTCTTTGGTTGCAAACTAAGAAACCTAACATTTATCTTACAATCTACTGTGTGGGAAAGAAGGAGACCTGGAGGATTTTTCAAAGAAATATTAAAATAAAGTTTTGTCAGTGCAAAAGTATGCTACTCCATGTGGAGTTGCTCAGAGCTCTCATCTGTCATTCCTTTGAAAGGCTTCGTGTTTTTTTTAAAGGAAGAAGTTAAACTGGATGCAGAAGACCTTCATTTTCCCTGTTGACTTTGTCTCAGTTATTTTAAAACAGTAATTCCAAGGCACTTACCTGAGAAAATGATGTTTTTGTGAAACCTTCTAAATGTTAGGTGTTTAATAATCAAAGATTCCTATCTTTTACTTAAATTTATTTTTGTCTTTCTTGAGATTAGTGTTTGTATTCATTACATATAGAAAATACAGTAAAAATATATCAGATAAGTTAATCATGTGGAAGGATAGCCCAATCAAACGGCCCACTGAAGAGACAGAAATAGCCACGTATCAGAGGCTCTGAACATTGGATTGATTCCTAAGGATTCTCTTAGGAATCAAAAGGAAAAGGAAAGTGATAAATTTTTTTCAAATATGTTTAAATGTTACAAATTTAGGTTATACACACTGTGGGGTAGTTCATGTTATTTTGAGTTGTTCTTTCATAGAAAGAATAGACTATGCCTTTGGAAGGAAAAATGCAATACAAATTTTGGATGCTACATCTTTTAATTTTTATAGAAAGATTCAGATCATGTATCCATTAAGTAGTAATTGTGATGGGAATTTCTGTCCTGCTATAAACAGCTAGCACAGGGACAGGGTATTTGAAATAACCATTTTCAGACACTGGACCACAGGCAGCACATTGCTGTGATCTACAAGAAAAGAGAGACACAGAAGTGACCCTTGCCTTGCCTCTGCTTGCACTCTGGGGTAGCTTCCAAGTTCCAGCACAAAAGAGAGGGAGAAATAAACCTCATTTTATGAACAAGCAACCCAGCTAAGATGCATGGGACAAAGGTCCAGAGAGGAAAGAACTGTGAAGAGAAAGTCTTCAAGGAATCTGAATTTTTGTTATAAAATAGCAAAAGTTGAGATTTGGCTTTTAGCTAGTCTCAAAAAAATGTTCAAGAGCGTATAAAAGAATTGGTTTTAATTATATCATAGTGAGTCCAAATTGTATAATGGAGCATTTAATTACCAGGCAAGTTGATGTAATATTGTACAATAAATATGAGTTGATTTTCTTGGAGTAAGAGTTTCGCTATTTGCACTACCATGGAAGATGCCGTTTTCTTGGTATTTTTTAAAGCCCTGCATTCCAAGAGACCCTTCCACAGGCTATGGCATCTGGGCCAGCTGTCTGAGGCTCCTTGGTCAAATCTTGCCAAATGGAACCAGGACTTGCACTCACCGATATCAAGAACCCTGCACTGTACCTTAGGAAAGCATCTCCTCCATCTATTCAGATCAGTTTCTTATCCATTTTATCATATCGGACAAAATGAATTATTTTCATCTGTTTGATTGTCCCTAAGCCAGCTCCCAGAATAACATTCAACTAAAGCAAAAGGGCACTTTTAAGCCTTCTTTGTTTTTTTTTTTTTTTGTTTTGTTTTGTTTTTAATTTATGTATTTGGTACAGGGTCTCATTAAGCAGGTCAGACTCACAGTGATCCTCCTGTTTTCAGCCTCCCTCGTGCTGGGATTGCAGGTGTGCGCCACCATGCCCAGTCTCAGTGGCCAGCTCAGAGCATCTGGGGGAGGAGCTGGTGCAGCATGTGATGCTGGGGATTGACCCTGGTCTCTGTGTTTGCCTAAGCAGGTGCTTAGTCCACTGAGCTATGTTGCCAGCTCTTAAAGTTTCTTTAAAAACACTTTGATCCACACTAATAATAATGATAGACATCCATGTAAGAATACATAGTAATGCCATGGCTTTAACTTACCATAAAATCTAACTATCATGTTTGTGGATCTTTCTTATTCAGATGTGACAGTGGTTTATCAAAATGGGTTACCTGTGATATCTGTGAGGCTACCATCCCGGCGTGAACGCTGCCAGTTCACACTCAAACCTATTTCTGACTCTGTTGGTGTGTTTTTACGACAACTGCAAGAAGAGGATCGGGGAATTGACCGAGTCGCAATCTATTCACCAGGTATAATCACCTTTGTTTTTAATTTTCACCTACCTCTCACTTCTCCCAAACTATTGCTAGACAGACACAAACACACGTGTGCTAATGTGCATGCATGCGCGCGTGCGCGTGTGCGCACACACACACACACGCAGGTCATTGCAAAAGAATATCATGCAGTTAACTTTAGAAAATATTTTTTTGGCCTAGCAAGTCACAGGAGAGAAAATGCTTTCTCTCCCAGTGGTTCTCGGGATATAATTGTTATGTTTTAGCAAATGTTTATGCATAGGTAGTCTCATAGCTACTCACATGTACTGCTGTGGGCAAGGATAAGCAATCAGTCATACCTTGTATTATTGAGACCTTTATCTCTACCTTTATGTAGAATAAATTTTTCCAGTAGCTGAGCCATCATCTTTAGAGATATGAAATGTGAGACTTTCTTTGTAGATCTTAGGTTTTTCACCTAAAAATGATTACCAGAGTATATGACAAGGATATAAAATAAGGCACTAAAAATTCCCACTTGATGTGACATCTGTTTAGTTTTTAAGTCACTTAAGTTGGGTTTTTCCCCCCACTTTTCCTTTGAAAAAATTCAAACCTACAGAAAACTTGAAAGACTAATATACTATGTACCCATTACCCTTCACCTAGTCACCAGTTGGCAACGATTGCCCCATCTCTGAGCTTTAAGTATTTATTTCTGTGCTTTAGGTATTTTAAACTCATCCAGAAATATACTTAGTAAACAAGCTTGGTGAGCTTTACTCACCCTCGATCCATCCCTACTGAACTGAGAGTTCATCAGTGACTACCCTGAAAACTAGTTAGAAACACTTGTCTTGTTTTGGTATTTGAAGCTCAGCCAGCTTCTATCACAAACAAGTCTTAAGTCTGTGAGCAGTATTTATTGCACTTGTTCACACAGTTTCAGGAAAAGTATTCTGATAACTCTTAAGACTTGAGGCCTTTTTAAAACCAAAGAGCTTCAGATGATCTAAACTTTGTTCAGCATAAACTGGAGGATAAAGCAAAACGTTAACTGAAATTCAAAAGAGAAGGGATTATTTTAGAAAATCTATGTTAAGAATTACTTTCTCCTCATTATTCTTGAATAATTATGGGCATATAACAGGTTTTATTTAAAATTTTCACAGATGGCGTCCGAGTTGCTGCCTCAACAGGGATAGACCTCCTCCTCCTCGATGACTTCAAGTTGGTCATTAATGACTTAACGTATCATGTACGGCCACCAAAGAGAGGTAAAAAAGGAGCCTTGAGGAGTTCACAGAAATGTAGTAAGGGCTTTTGGGAGCAATGTAATTTTTCCCTGGGTAACTTTGAGAAAGATAGTATTCAAAGGATATGGAAAGTTTTACCTTTCACTTGAGGAACTCATTCAATACATGGCATTAGGCTAGAGTCTAGAGATACTGGAATGCTTTATTATCTGGTATTACTCTGCTTCATATAAATAAGTGTCCTGCTTAAATCAAATCCTCCTTCAAAACAGACTAAAATTCATATTATTTTTATTTTTT